CCCTGCATTGAGTTTCTGAGGAGCAGCTGGTAAGGTTGAACCCCAAACCTTGTGGATCAAACTGACCTTGCAGTTCAGCGCATTAACCCACAGCACCACACCAGTGATTATTATTTTTGTCAAGTGCTGTCGAGATTGTTCTGACTCACAGTTACCCAATATAGTGTTTCCAAGAAGTGGCTGGTTAGTTTGAACCACTGACCTTGTGGTCAGCAGTCCACTGCTTATCCTACAGCACCCATGAGGACTTTGTTATAGTGAATAAAATAGCCATAATAGCATTTAGAAAGACAGAGAATAATTCTGAAGCCAAGTAATCTATGTGAACTAACTGCAAGAGATAAATGAACTAAGGTCTTTGAATGAGCTGGAAATCAAAGACAAATTTGCAAACATCACATGTTTAAATATTGGCTTAAAATGCATTTTAGATAGACATTTCCTATTTCATAACTTTACATTCTATTTCATTTTTGCACTTAAACTGTTTTCATATGAATATTTCCTATTATAAAATACATGCTATCCAATTTAGCAAGTGTTTTAGCATGTGAAGAATTTCCTAAAATTGTCTTGTTGTTAAGTGCTGTCGAGTGGGTTCCGACCCATAACGACCCTGAACAGGGTTTCTGAGGCTGTAAATGTTTACGGGAGCAGAAAGCTTCATCTTTCTCCCGTGGAGCAGCTGGTAGTTTCGAACTGCTGACCTTGCGTTTCACAGCCCAATTCTTAACCACTACACTACCAGAGCTCCTTATTGTCTTACTGTTATAAAAACAAATGGTTAAGTAGCTGCTGCTTGTTGTTTTTAAGAATCAAATCTGTCAACATATCCACCAGCATTGCAAACATGATTGACAGTTGGTAATGGAACTTTGTCCAACATTTCTATTTGCCCTTGTTGCTACTACATACCATTAAGCTGGTTCTGAATAGTGACCCTATGCACAAGAGAAGGAAACACTGCATGGTCCTGCATCATCGTTGAAGGTGGACAAAGTTTATAAAACAACTGCTTGAAAGCTAACTAACAAAACAGCAAGGACTTAACAGGCCAGGAACTCATATAGGGAGGGCCCAATTTTGCCCTGGAGGTGTTTGCTGACTTCTGAGTACTTTTAACAATTTTGTTTTAGATTGAGAAACCTAAAGGCTGCCTATCAGGCATGAGAATGCAATAGAAATAAAAACTATAGCTCACTGTTGAATCATCTCACCCCTTGAAACTAGATGAAAGTGATGCCAGATTTTTTAGTGTCCTGAGATGCTTGGAAGAAGCAAATGTAATTATGTCAGAAGAAACAGAATATAAATTAATTACGTCTACAAGTGATTTTGCAAGTTTAACACCCAAAACAACAACAACAACTAGGCATGCAAGGAGATTGTACTATGTGAATGAAAAACAGCAGAAGCAACAGACTATAGAAACAGACTCGAAAGAACTCCATATACAAGGAGATTTCAAAAATTTCATGGAAAACTGGAAGTAAAGATAATAGAATTTTTCTTCCAATTTTTGATGCCTTCTCATATTTGAATTATCTTATTAAACAGATTTTAAAATAACTATTGTTCCCACATGCAAAGAGACAAGATTGAGAATTGACAGAGAATTAGAAATTATTTTTCAAAAAAGAGTAAGATAAATTAATACGGGTATGATGAATACTAACTAGCAACTTTTATTTTTTATTAAAAACACATAATCCTTATAATATTCAATTCATTCTAATTTATAAGTAATTATTGTTGTTGTTAAGTACCGTGGAGTCAGTTCCAGCTCATAGTGACCCTGTATAAGGTTTCTGAGGCTGTAAATCTTTACGGGAGCAGAAAGCCTCATCTTTCTCCCGCTGAATCACTGGTAGTTTTGAACTGCTGACCTTGAGGTTGGCAGCCCGACTTGTAACCACTACGCTACCAGAGCAGCTTAAGTAATTAAGCATCAGTAAATAAAACATTGTTGTTGTTAAGTGCCGTCAAGTCAGTTCCAACCCATAGCAACCCTGTATAGGGTTTCCAAGGGGCAGCTGGTAAGCTTGAACTGCTGACCTTGCAGTTCAAACGACTTTGCAGTCTGGCGCATTAACCCACAGCGCCACACCAGGACTCCAAATAAATAAAACAAGTTGTTGTTGTTGTTGTGAAGTGCCATCAAGTCGGTTCCGACCCATAGCGACCCTGTATAGGGTTTCCAAGGAGCAGCTGGTGAGCTTGAACCACTGATCTTGCAGTTCAAATGGCTTTGCAGTCTGATGCATTAACCCACAGAGCCAAACATACATACTATAAAATATAACAGCACCAAGGAGAAGTCCCAAACTGAAAAACCCAGGTCCAAATTTGCAGATAGTAGATGCTCTAAAGATGTTTAAGTCTCTGATGAACCTAGGAATTAGTCATCGAGTTTCACAGTGATGTAATGACAGATACATGTAATGAGAGATTGTGGTGCTGGCAAACAATGTTGAATACACTGTGGACTGCCAAAAAAGAAAAAAAAGAACAAATCAGGCATAAAAGAAATACCACCAGAATGTTCCTGAGAAGCGAAAATGCTGAGACTGACTCATTTACATTGGATACATCCTCAGGAAAGTTCAATCACTAGAAAAAGATATCATGTTTAGTAAAACAGAGGGCCGACAAAAATGAAGGAAGCTCTCAATTCAGATTTGACACAAAAACCACAACGATGGAGTTAAATGCACCAGTGATGATGAAAATGGCACAGGGTCGGGCAACAATTCGCTCTGTAATACTTCAGGTCACCGTGACTCAGAGCCGGCTCAGTGGCAGCTAACAACAACTGACAGGTTTATTTTTCCCTTCAGATAGGATTTTTGCCCAAACTAGGTCCTAATAAAAGAATGACTACAACCTGAAAATCTATCCCATTTATCAGTTCATGACTTTACTTTCTACAATTTTACATGTGGATGTCTGAAACTTAAGCAAGGATAGAACACCAAAGAGTGGCAGAGGATGGGTAAAAACCAGACATTAAAGCCAGATTACAATCATTACACCACATTGAAAACCATGTGTTAAATTACACATCATGTTCATACATATGTATACAACACACATACAGATAAGAAAATTTCATTGTAGTATAATGGAGCAAACCACATACTCATATACATGTTCCTTTTTCACAAGCAGCAGCAGAGCAAACAACAGCAAGTCACTTTGAAGCATTCTGTTGTTGTGTGAAACTGAACTGAAGAAGTGTAAGAGGGAAGGCTAGGCTTAAGTTATTTTTCAATAGGAAGAGCTTTCTGTGTTTGATTACAAAGGAGAATATACAGGAAAAGTTTGCTTCACAAATCTTGTGTACCTGGAAAGAACTCCTAGTTAAGTGAGATACCAAATCAACTAACTAAAGGTAGATTCTTAGTCTTCCAAATCTTGATTCAAGTAGATTAAATTTATATGCCCAATTTTATGGATGTTAAAAAAGATATAACTTTTTTCATTTATTGCACTATAAACTTTTATCTCTAAAATGCCTAGAGTTAACCAATTAGGAAAATCTCTCCATATTGATATAACTCTGATATGAAATGAAATAGAGTAATAAATGAAAATAGGAAGGGTCTGTTTTAAACAAATCTACTATGACTGACTCTGTAGGTCCACTCAACACATAAATGGACAACAAAGCAAAATGAAACAAAACAATGAGCTGAGTATGTTTAGGGGCCCAATACTGACACAACTAATTCTCCAAGGCTCCTCCCACAAATATATAAATGTTGTACACTGAACAACTTTTTTATTAGCAGCCATTATCAACTGAGTATACTGCAACATGCTGATGACATGTTGTTGCTGTAAAGTGCTGTCCAGCTGTCTCTGGCACATAGCGACCCTATATAAGGTTTTCTAGGAGTGGTTAATGGGTTTGAACTGCCAACCATGTGGTTAGAAGTCAAGTGCTTATCCTACAGAGTCACACCAGGACTCTCAAATAAAGAATACTTCTGTTAAGTGCTGTTGAGTAGGTTCCAACTCAGAGCAACCCTGTTTCCAAGGAGCAGCTGATGGATTTGAACTGTTGATCTTGTGGCTCTCAGTAAAGAATGGTAGTGATTATAAGCCATGAAGTCAGTTCTGTCTCATAGTGTATATGGTTTCTGAGGCTGTAAATCTTTAGAGGAGCAGAAAGCAGAAAGCCTCGTCTTTCTCCCACTGAACGACTAGTAGTTTCAAACTGCTGACTCTGAGAAAAGCAGGCCAAATCATAACCACTATGCTACCAGAGCTCCTTCAGTAAAGAATGGTGGGGTGTGTTTGGGCTCTCCACAAGAAGGACAGAAAAGATCACAGAATATGCCTATCTCCTCCCATCCTTTCTTGTCTAATCAAGCCTTCACAAATATAACACTAAATACATCAAAAATGTTCAAATGAAAGGTAGCAAATAAAAGGATTGCTTACTTTATTTAAAAAGTCACCGCATATATTTAAACTTAAAATATATAACATTCACCTCTAGAGTTATACTAAACATCTGCTTTCAATGCAATTAGTGATAGAGCATGAAAGAAAGAACTCATTTATTTTTAAATTAAGCTATATGTATATGTTGTTGTTGTTAGGTGCCATGTGGCAGTGGTAGTGAGGTTGGCCCAGGATCGGACATTGTTTCGTTCTGCTGTGCATGAGGTCGCTAGGAGTCGGTTCCGACTCGATGGCACCTGACAACAACAACAACAACAACATGTATATGAGCCCTGGTGTAGTGTTACAGGATAAGCAGTGGGGACTGTACAACGTCATCGGTTCCAACACATCAGCCACTCCTGGAAACCCTATACAGGGTCACTATGAGACGGAACTGACTTGAAGGCACTTAACAACATGTATATATATACCAAGAGTCTAACATATTTTATTAATTTCAATTTTTATAATAAACACATTAAAATTAAGTGAATAACGCCACCTGATCTAAAGGACTAAAAGATAGGGGAAATAAAAAAGTACATTACCTGCAGTAATCTCCTTGCTTAGCGACCTTGGCCAGGGAGAAAATGCAGTCTACAGTTGCTAGGTGATGAACTGCTTTACACAAGGAGTGATAATGTTCATTGAAATTCCTACAGAAGCCCAACAAAAACACATAGGTGAGTAAATTGAGTTTTTGTGCCTATAAAGGCTGAAAAACAAATGATCATTTTATTAGCTAATATAAGACATAAACAAAATAATTAGACACACCTAGCAGTTAAAAAAGGCAGAAATTATATTGAGCTTCCTTTCTTTTAAATATAATAACTTGATTACTAAGGTTTCCTTTTTGTTTTGTTTTGTTTGGGATAAATTTATATAAATCTAAAACAACTTCTATATAAAGAAGGAGTCCTGGTGTGGTGCTGTGAGTTAATGTGTCAGAGTGCAAAGTCAATTTGAACTTCAAGGTTGGCAGTTCAAGTTCACCAGCTGCTTCTCAGAAACCCTATACAGACAGGGTTGCTATGGGTAGGAATCAACTCGATGGCACTTTAACAACAATGACATAGAAAGAAGGGAGCATCGGTGACGCTGTAGGATCAGCACTGGACTGCTAGCCACAAGATCGGCAGTTCAAACCCACCAGCTGCTCCTCAGGAGAAAGATAACGCTTTATGCTCCCATAAAGATTTACAGCCTCGGAAACCCTATACAGGGTCGCTATGAGTTTGGATCATAAGGTCAGTTTGAACTGCAATGTCGGTGACTTAAACTCACCAGCTCGACCACACTTAACAACAGCAACATGTATCAGAACCAGTTTGATGGCACCAGACAACAACATCATAGAATAAGCACTGGATTGCTAACCACAAGATCAGCATTTTAAATCCACTCTGATACCATAAAGATTTATAGTCTTTGAAACTTGATAGCAGTGGGTTTGGTTTGGGGGTTTTAGAGAAAGATGTCTATTATTATTAATAAGGAGTCTGGTAGCATAGTGGTTCAAGGGTCGCTAAGAGTCGGAACCAACTCGATGGCACTCAACAATAACAACTGGTAGCATAGTGGTTACTCAACATCAGCAGTTTAAAATGACCACCCATTCGGCAGGACAAAGATGAGGCTTTCTGCTCCTGTAAAGATTTACAGCCTCGGAAACCTTACACAGGGTCCCTGAGTTGGAACCAACTCCATGGCACACCATCACCAAAATTATTATTAATATGGTATTACATATACATTTTATCTCAGCAAAACAATTCAACTTACACAAAAGTAACACCAATGTAGCAATAATTTTCATTTAACGTAAAGAACATCAAGATCTATGGAGATGGATCAGCTCCCATTCATGCAACATGGCATCAGCCATACCTGGAATAACAGTTCCAACACCTTTCTCTCCCACTGAACTGGGAGCTTCTTGGAGGCAAGTCTAATAGGTCTGTTTGATTTCCTTGCCACTCTATTTCTAGTACCTAGCCCCAACCCTTGGCATGGGGTTGTTGTTGTTAGGTGCCATCGAGTCGGTAGCAACTCATAGCAACACTACACACAAAGAACAAAACACTACCCAGTCCTGGGCCAACTTCACTACTGTTGCCATGCTTGATTCCATCGATGCTGCCACTTTGCCAATCCATCTCGGTGGAGGTCTTCTTCTTTTTCTCTGACCCTCCACCTTACCAAACATGATATCCTTCTTCAGTGACTGGTCCCTCCTGACAATATGTCCGAAGTATGAGAGATGAAGTTTGGCCATCCTGGCCTCCAAGGAGCACTCTGGCTGCACTTCTTTCACCACAGATCTGTTGGTTCTTTTGGCAGCCCATGGCACTTTCAATATTCTCCTCCAACACGATAACTCAAAACCATCAGTTCTTCTACGATTTTCCTTATTCACTGTCCAGCTTTCACATGCATATGAGTTTATTGAAAATACTATGGCTTAGGTAAGGTGCACCTTAGTCCTCAAGATGACATCTTTGCTCTTCAATACTTTAAAAAGGTCTTGTGCAGAAGATGGAAGGAATACACAGAATCACTGTACCAAAAGGAAATGGTTGATGTGGAATATACAGAGTCACTGTACTGAAAGGGAATGGCTGATATTCAACCATTTCAAGAAGTAGCATATGATCAAGAGCCAATGAATGATATTGAAGGAAGAAGTACAACCTGCATTGAAGAAATTGGCAAAGAACAAGGCACCAGAAACTGATGGAATAAAAATTGAAATCTTTCAAGAAAGTGAGGTGGCACTGGAGGCATTCACTCATCTATGCCAATAAATTTGGAAGACAACTATCTGGCCAACTGATTGGAAGAGACCCATATTTGTGCCCATTCCAAAGAGAGGTGATGCAATGCAATGTGGAAATCATCGGACGATCTATTTGATATCCCATGAGAGTTAAGTTTATTAAAAGTAATACAGAAATGGCTGCAAGCATACATTGACAAAGAACTTCCAGAGGCATAGGGTAGACAATGTAGTAAATATTTGTTAAAGAAATAAACCAACATTAAAAAGATCCTGATAACTGCCTAAAATCTGTGGATAGTTATAACTTTATTTGATGATCTAAAAGCTTAAAGGACTCCTTTATTAAAACACAAACAAGAAAAGTACAGGAATGCAGACAGATGTTTTTTCTTTCTTACCCTTTTTATTTTCTTGAAAAAGTTATCCTATAATTTCATATGCTAGTATTTAATCTCAATGTTTACAATGCTGTATAAATGGTGAAAATCTAGATATAGAGATCAATTGCAACTGTTTGAATTATACATAATTACAATACAAGAAAGGTTATAACTTAAAAAGAGTCTAAAAATACTTTCAGTATTAAATAATATTTCGGGAAAGGAAGCATGTAATAGCTGAAATCTTTGTAGCAATTTCTCTGTTTACAGGATGGTTTGTTCAATTTCGGTGCTGAACTTAAAAGAAAAGAAAGGCAAATGGTGAGAACTCAGACATTCTTCAAAGACTAAACTGTGAAGGGATGTAAATAGAAGTAAATGAACTGTAAACAAGTCCAGGAGGAAAGCTGGCCAGGTAACTAATATTTATTAACAAACGACTATGGAAGAGTCACCTATTGCATTTCTTTACAACTTAAGTCTTTAACATTTAAATTTTTAAAAATAAATTTAGATGAAGTAATTAGTCTAAGGTCACATAGCTATTAAACATCAGAACTGGGTTCAAACTATGCTCTTTATAATATTCTGTCTTTCACTAAAATTTTATGGGATCCTATAACCACCATGTGTGGCAAGGAGCTCTGGTAGTTTAGTGGTTACAAATCGGGATGCTAACCTCAAGGTCGGAAGTTTGAAACTACCAGCTGTTTCGTGGGAGAAAGATGAGGCTCTCTGCTCCTGTAAAGATTTGCAGCCTCGGAAACCCTGTGCAGGGTCTCTATGAGTTGGAACCGACTCCACGGTATTTAACAACAACAACAACTGTGTGTAGCATGTGGATCAGAACTGGACTGTGAACCACAAGGTTGGCAATTCAAATCTACCAGCTGCTCTTCAGAAACTCTATACAGCATCCCTATGAGTGGGAAACGACTCAACAACACTTAACAACAAAAAGGGACATGTTCACAGAACTCTAGTGGCACAGTGGATTCAACACTGGGCTGCTAATCGCAAGGTTGGCAGTTCAAGGTCACCAGCTACTCTGGGAGAAAGAAGAGGCTGTTTGATCCTGTTAAGATTTACAATCCTGGAAACCCAAGAAACAGTGCTACTGTAAACAACAGTCGCTGTGAGTCGGAATTGGCTGGCAGTGGGTTGTTTACTGACATATTTCCTTATTTCTCTATCTACATATGAAGAAGATGAACATCTTATTTCAGAAATAAAATGTTTGTTTTCTGCATAAAATCATCTTGTAGCTAAGGAATCCTTTAAGTCCTTCAAAGACGATCCAAGTAAAGAGACAAAGAGTGTTACGATGAATGTCTCTCAAAAAATGTTCTCTATTATAGTATGCATTTCAGAGATGTTGAGATTTATTCTGCTTGCTCAGAATGTTAAATCCAAAAATGGTTGGAGTGTTTCCTACTTGAAAATACTATTCAGCTTAAGCTACTGTGGGGATCAATTATTTCTCTATTGTCACTATCTTTGATTTTTTTAAAAACTGCAATTTCTTCGTTCTTTTAATATTATCAGAATAAGGCATCTTACATAAATGACTTTTTCAGATAGAAACTTTTCGTTTGAAGGATCTAGCATTATTTTTATGTTAAGTATTTGTGAATGAAAAACATATATATATATATATATATACAGAGTACAATTGTCAGATCAACTCTATTTCTCATTTAATGAAAATTCAACAAAATGAATAGTATGAATCCTAGGAACAGTGACAGAATCTGTGCAAAACCCCACACAAGAAAATCACGGGGCCCTGACCGTCCATAAACATGCTTCCAAGGTATTTTGTTGTTGTTATTGCTTGTCTGTCTTACTGTACTATATAAATGTGTGTGTATATATATGTGTGTGTGTGTATAAATGTGTGTGCATATAAGTGTGTATGTATATAAATGTGTGTGTATATAAATGTGTGTGTATATATATGTGTGTGTGTATATAAATGTGTGTGTATATATGTGTGTGTATAAATGTGTGTGCATATAAATGTGTGTGTATATATATGTGTGTGTGTATATAAATGTGTGTGTATATATATGTGTGTGTGTATATAAATGTGTGTGTATATATATGTGTGTGTGTATATAAATG